CAAGCCATAAGATTATTTTTAATATCAGTCATCATACAAGGGAAAACAAAAAGACCACAAAATCTTTCAGTAGTTAATTTTTTATAGAAATAAAAATATTATTAAGTGTTATTTGTACATATTGCTGAATTTCAGACCAATTTCTTTTTGTGAGTCAATTACTGAAACATGCCATCTAGAAGACAGATGGTCATTGAGTCAGAGTGTCTTCTAACAGCCTGTGCACTCATTTCATGAAAGCCTTACTCACAAGACTGAGCCTAAGCCTGTACGTGCATCATTTTGTAGGGAACATTTTCTAGCACTGAACGAATATTAAAGATGCCGCAGATCTGTCATTTTAAAAATAAAGAGTTCTGACAATGAGTAGAGGCTTTTCTTCATGAATTATTTTCACCTTCTTAGGAAATGTGGTTGTGATTCAAATTATGCATTTTCATACATAGGGAAGACAAGAGTCACGAGGAGGTTTATCCAGATGATAGCTTCGTGGGAAGAGAAATACCTCAAAAGGGGAAGAAACACAGATCCTGGTACAAGGAGGGTGACCAGAAGCCCAGCAACCTGCTGCAGCATCAGGGGCCGTCAATTGTAATTACAGCATCTTACAGGTTAGTCTTTCCCCAGCGGAGAGCTCAAAGTATACTCCAGCTACCAACCTGGTCCCAAACCTAGTCATTCATCCGCAGCTCAGTTGTCTCAAAAATGAAAATGAAGGAATGACGTCCTGACAATTATACGGATAGCTTCCACATAGAAGAGAGATGAAAAGAAATTAATTCAGGATGTGAGCAAGCCCGGGTGACTCACTATCAAAATGAAAGAAATAAGAGGAAATATAGGAAATACAAAAAAAATGCCTCTAATTCTCTCTCTGATTTCTAAAAATTCTCTCAAATTGCTTCAGCATCTCATTTCAATGACTTCTAATGATGTAATTTCAGGAACTGTTAGATTTCAAACAGCTTGGTCCAATAGAAAGTAGTTTTAAGTTTATAAAGAATCATGCAGAGAATTCCTTTTGAAGGATAAATTAAGGCGTTTTAGATTTCCTTGAAATATAAACCTGCTAATAAACATCTTACACCAGAAAAATAAAAGGACTGATTTTAAACGCAAAAATAAATTCCTTCTATTTTAGCACATTTGTGCTATAGCCAAATGAGAAGAACTGAGTTTAGGACAAGCACAAACTAAGGAATTAAGTGAAAACTACATTGATTGGCTCCATACATTAGTTTCCTTGCTTGTTTCCATCAGTATAAATTAGGTTGAACATCTTTGCAGATATTAACTCCTTTTGAATATTTAATCATTGTGAGGGTGATGGGATACTTCCTTCATTTGCTCAACATTTACAAATTAATACGTTGGAATTTTGGTATCTGCTAAAATTAGGGTTCTTCCATGCTCCGGCCAGAAAGAACTTTTACCCCAACGAGAAAGAAATCACAGACAATAGAAGACAAATAATCTTCAAAGTTCGTCACTCTCCATCACTTTTTCTCTTTGAAGAGTAATGGCTAAAGCATATTTAAATATTTCCCTCACTTCTTTCTGGTCTTTATGTGAGGATGAGAAACTTCATAGAGTCTCCTGAATGGGGCTTAGCAGAAAACGAAGCATTTGCCCGGTTGCCCACAGCCACATCCCTGTAGGCCCAGACTGTCTTTTTAGCAACCCCAGGTAGCCCTCTGATCATGACCCAGGGTCATGACCTCCCAGGGTCATGACCTCCATCAAGGTGAAATTTCACTAGATCCATTCTTTTATTTAGAGAAAAAAAGCCAAGTCTGCTGCAAATAAGTCTGGTAGTTACATATTTTAAAAGAGTAATTCCATAGGATTTCTAGTCAACAGAATATTTTTTCTGGAGATTCGTGTATGACATTCTCCCTGGTGGAGTCATGCAGATACTTTTCAGGGAAGGTCGATAGTACTTTGTGTAACGTATATTCATTTCTCAACTACTGCCTCCATGGAGAAGTCTTCCCTGATCACCATTTCTAAAATAGTGCACAGACCTTCACTGTCACTCTTACGCCTTTACTCTGCTTCATGGCTAATGCTGCTATCACTCAGTGTTTGTGTGTGCACGTGTGAGTGCACATGGGGGCACCCACACACTTGTTTGATGTCTCTCCATGATGAAATGTAAACTCCATGGGGGCAGGGACTTTATTTCCCAGATTAATGTTTAGTAATAGCATGCTTTTAATACATCGTTATTAAATGGATGGCTAGGTGGGTACACAGATGGAAGACAGTATTTTGTAGGCTTCAAATGCACAAAACCCCAATTCATTCCATGGGAGCTCTTATCTATGGATAGGAGCCATTAATAGACTGGCTGGATTGCTCATGCCTATAATACTGGCACTCTGGGAGGCCAAGGTGGGTGGATTGCCTGAAGTCAGGAGTTTGAGACCAGCCTGAGCAAGAGTGAGACCCTGCTCTACTAAAAAGTAGAACAATTAGCCAGGTGTTGTGGCAGGCACATGTTGTCCCAGCTACTCAGAAGACTGAGGCAAAAGGATCTCTTGAACCCAGGTGTTGGAGGTTGCTGTGAGCTAGGACACTATGGCACTCTAGCCAGGGCAATGGAGTGAAACTCTGTCTAAGAAAAAAAAAAAGGAAAGTGATTAAGAAAATGCCATCGGAAGCAGAGAACCTGAGGTAGCCTTCAAATGATGTAAACAGCCAAGGATAAGGAATGTGAGGGATACAGAGGAAATTATTTGGATACAAGTGCAAAATGAGGAAATGCACATATGTAGATGTGATGTTTGAAGCCTGGAAGTTGTCCCAGGCTTTGTGTAAGGGGTGTTGTGACTGTTGGTGAGGAACATAGGTTCAGACCAGTTTTTAAAGACCTTAGTGCTCGACCGAGACATCTTAAATATTATTCCCCTCATAATAGGGAGCCACTGATGATTAATGAGCAAAAGGAATCAACGTAAAAAACAGGTACATTAAGTAGAAGTTAAAAATATATAGGTGGATCGGAAGTCTAGGAGACTAAAAGGATAAAGAACAGTTTGGAGCTATTTCAATGTCATGCGAAATTTTCTAGAAGGAGGATGAATGCAAAAAAATATTGTACATGGGAAGCTCAGCAAATCTATATAATTACTTTCTAAATTCTTAGGAGAGTAATGGAACCCATATTCTTTGTTAAGTCACTAAATATATTTAATAGTATAACACTTTACAGTCACCATAATTTGAAGTAGTAAAATGAGTTAATAAAAAAATAAACTAGTGTAGAATGAAATAATCTTCCTAGTTTACGTCAGTGAATTTTTTTTTTTTTTAGAGACAGAGTCTCACTCTATTACCCTCTGTAGAGTACTGTTGCATCACAGCTCACAGCAACCTCCAACTCCTGGGCCTAGGTGATTCCCTTGCCTCAGCCCCCCATGTAGCTGGGACTACAGGCTCCCGCCACAACACCCGGCTATTTGTTGTTGTTGTTGTTGTTGCAGTTTGGCCAGGGCTGGGTTCAAACCTGCTATCCTCAGTATATGGGACTGGCACCCTACTCACTGAGCCACAGGCGCCACCCTACTTCGGTGATTTTTAAGGACTGCTTTGACACACAGTCTTCCTATTTGATCCAGTCAAACTAAAAAGTTGAACCAGATAATTATTTTCCCTATAGCTGGAGGTTGGGCAAATTGTCATATTGTCAGGGTGGGCTCTCGTATTGCTTTATTTTTAAAGGCCAGACAGGGTAAGACTTTAAAATCTTTTTGAGCTCTGTAGCTCTATGAGACTCTAAACAAAAATATCACCAAGCATTAGGAAGAAAAGAACAAGAATAAAACATGTGATTTCATTCAGTAAGGTTGGAAGAAAAAATGTAAGAAAATGAGAAAGAAGAAATTGATTTAAAAGATATAAAATACAGTGGTTAAAATAAGATCATGATCTTTCTAGTTTCTCTTGATTACATCCGGGGAACATTTTCACTTGAACACTGGAGGCAGACTGTGTATTTTAAGACCTTTCTTTGTATTCCACACAGTGATGAGCATGTCTTCCTAGTTCTCAGAATAATGAATGTTAAGCTGAGGCTTTTCTCTCCAGGATCATTTTCCAATGAATTTACCCATGCTTTCCACTTCTGTCTACTCACTGTAGTTCCCAGTTTTATAGTCAAGTGACAATAGATTTCATTTATAAATATTCAAGTCCAATTAAACTTCATAATGCTAAATGAGACTGATATGTCCCTTAAATCCCACCTTTATTGTAAGAGCCATTTTTGTATATACATATCTCTGTTTCATGCTCCGTTGTTCCACTGTGAAATGTATAGATGATGCGCTAATGCTACACTTCCCAAAGTTATTCTAGTCTTATTGTGTGGTTTGATAGCTAATAAGGCAAGAGAACGCTGATCATTCTTTTCCCTATCAGCTGGTTTATTCTCACAAAACTTCTTTTGGCGATGTTATATTAAGTTTATAGATGAATTAGTGAAACTTATTATCCCTTCAGTATTAAATTCTTTCTTTTTTGTTTTTTTGGAGGACCATAAGTTGAGGGTTTAATCAAAGATACAGAGAGAGAAAAAAAGGACAAGATTACACACCCCAAGAAAGGAAAGACTCCAATGCAGAGGGAGCAGGAGTTGAGGTGGCAGTGGCCACTGCCTCTTGCTGTCATGGTCCCTCAGCTCAAGAAAAGCATATTAGCAGAATGGGACAGAGGCCTTTTATTGGTCTGATTAGTGTGTATAGTGGTAAGTTCAGGGAGAGCTTCCCTCTCTGTCCTGGCTCCCACCTTCCCTCCTAAGAGTTTGTGACTCATCCTGGGAGAGAAGAGTGTCTAGGCAGGGTGGCAGGCAGAGCCAGGGTAAAAATTATGGCATTAGGATCTGAAAGGGGTTCAGGATGGTGTAGAAAATGTGAGGTTGCTAGGCCATCCAGATAAAATGTCCATCAGAGCAGGGGTGGGGAGGAAGAGCTTCCCCTGGAGGCTCCCTACTGGGCCCTTCATGCCTTCAGCCTCTCCCAGATGTTGTCCTCGGCCTCCTTAACGCTTCGCTCCAGGTAGGATTTTTTCTGCTCTAGTTCTTTAATTTTTTCTTCTGCTATTCTCTGTTTCTCTAACAGCTGATTGTGAATTACCTCCTTGGATGGAAGAATAAACATTCTTCCTGCACCTTCATACATGTTAGTTTCATCTACCAAAGTCAAAATCTCTGTGTCTGTAAGATGTGCATGCTTTTTTGTTCTGTTCAGCTGTTCAATCTGTATGTCTGCAAGCTTCACCTTCTGTTGAGTGTCAATAACCTTAGCTTGAAGCTCTGTGAAGGCCTTTTTCAACTCCAAATCCACGGGGGCCGCCATCTTGATGCACCCTATACGTCTCATTAAATTCTTTCACTATAGGAACTTAGTCATTCTCTCCCTCTCCCCACTCCTATCTTATGGTTCTAGATGATGAATAGGTACACGTTTCTGCTAGGTATATGGTAGGATGACAGCTCTGATGGCCATTCTGGAAAAAGAGTTCAAATTGCTTTGAAGGGTGGATTAGGTGCTGGCATCACTGGACAACTTCCCAGAGGATGTGCTTTGAAGGTGACTGTATTGATATTCAGCCATGAGTATGTAGCACTTTTTCTAGGATGAGTTCGAGGATTTCATTGTCTGACTTCATAAGGCTTCATACAAACCTTCTTTTATGTCTTTTAGTACAGATCAATAGTTCCCATCATGTAATTTTATAGTTTCTATTCATTTCTAGTTGGGTTTGTATATACAGGTTTTATATATTTTTGTTACTATTATGAATATCCACCTTACATAACATCTTTTTTTTTTTTTTTTTTTTGAGACAGAGCCTCAAGCTATCCCCCTGGGCAGAGTGCCGTGGCATTACAGCTCACAGCAACCTCCCACTCCTGGGCTCAAGCGAGTCTCCTGCCTCCGCCTCCCAAGTAGCTGGGACCACAGGCGCCCGCCACAACGCCCGGCTATTTTTTGGTTGCAGCCATCATTGTTGTTTGGCGGGTCGGGGCTGGGGATTCGAACCCGCCACCTTAGGTGTACGTGGCTGGCGCCTTAGCCCGTTGAGCTATAGGCGCCGAGCCACATAACATCTTTATCTCCTTGGTTATTGAAGGTTTATAGAGCTATTAAGTTAGTTTCTGGAAGTGGCCAGAATCAAGCCCACGTTTCTGTCTTTCCTTAGCTACTCCATGTGACTGACTTGAGAGCCTTCCCTGCCTTCCGAGAGTGTAGCCGTTATAGTTAAATTCTGCCTCCACCCCACTTATCCCCTAGGTCTTCCTTGGACCACTGGCAGTTTTTTCCAGGTCTGTATCCATGCCACAGTTGTATCATAGCTATCTTCTTTTTAGCATGTTAGTAAGTTGCATGATTATATAAATACATATCAAATAATTTTATTTATTTATTTATTTACTTATTTGCATTTTTTGGTTGGGGCTGGGTTTGAACCCACCACCTCTGGCATATGGGGCCAGCGCCCTACTCCTTTGAGCCACAGGCGCCACCCATATAAAAATAATTTTAATAAATCCTTTGCTGTGATTGTGAAATTATTCTGAGCTTTTCTCAGAACAACAGAGAATGGGACCTGAGAAAGAGGGATCCACCTAAGAAACATCCTTCTCCCAACTCACCTACCATGATCCCCACCTTAGTTAGCAATTTTTAAAATTATGTTTTCAAAGGCTATTTGGTGTCAAACTAATTGACTTTCAGTGACCAAAGAAGAAAACGTGTTTCTGAACACTGCCATTTACAAAATTTCATTAGCACATGTAGCTGCAGACAATAGAGAAAATAGTTTCACTAGTTCTGTGATGAGCAAATTACCCCGGCTGGATGTTTGCACTAAATTAACCCATGGATACAATGTAATGATTCAGAGCCTGAAGCTTACGTTGGCTGGCTGGCATTCATTTTATTCTACTTTTGAAGAAAAATTTCATGCTATTTTACAAACAGAGAAGAGATTTTGTGTAAAATATGAGTTTATACAACAAAACGGAATATGCACGATGAAATTAGGTGATATTATATGATTCTAATTAGATTTGTTTTCTTTCCTTTTGCTTTTATTCTGGATTTTGAATTTTTAGAATTGAACAGATAACTTGATTATATTCTTTCCAACTGGGGTCTTTTCTGATTTTATTTGGGATTCAGGCAATGATTTCCTTGCTCATGTGAATTAGTTGTACATTTATACTAAAACTGTAATGAAACATATAAATGCTTATCTTCTGGTAGGTTTGGGGGGCAACAGAGTCATTTAAATGTTTGATCTCCAAGGCTGAAATCTGGACTCAGGGATTTCAAGCAGATCCTCCAAAGTAGATGATTGAAATTGGGCAAAGATTGTGACATAATATTTTAGGCTTGGTGGATACACTGAGGAATGGTCTTGAAGGGATTATTATAAACTGTTATTTGATAAACAAGCTATTTGCCCCAAAGAGCAAATTTTCCTGGGCAGATGGGTTTGCACAAAGTTTTTAAAGCAAATATTTGACTTTTTAAATTTATTGACATTCTTTTCTATCTGGGCAAGCATTAAACAAATAGTCAAATCATGTTGGCCCAAGGGATCTCACTTCTCAGTCCCAATAGCTGAGTTGTTTTGACACAGCTAGTGTTAATTCACATAAAATTGTATCGATGGCATTAAGCTGACTAAAATAAGATAAATTTATATTACAGAGAATCGTGAAAGACAGAGTGAACTATGTGGTTATTAATCTGAGTTTCAAATTTAGTGTGAACTATTGGTTCACAGTCTTGATTTTGCTCCTAGGAAGCCACGTGGCAACGCGGGCACCTTCTTCAGTGTTTCTCGGGTTTGCCTGTCTCTGCAGACACCCAGCCCTTCCCTTCCTCTGCTTTGACAGTTGAAACAGCAACGACTCCGTTTGGCTGGTCTTTTTTGCCCCCTGAAGCTTACCCAGGCCACAGCCAGAGCCCTGGCTCCTACCAACCCTTCCAGAAAATGTGCCACAGGGCGTGAGATTTGACTTTCCCGGGAGACACCAGGTAACACAACCTGGAGGTGTGGGGCGGTGAATTCCCCACGGGGTAAACTTTGATGAGAAAGATAAAGAGGTAGAACAGTCCAGTAGGTAAATGTTTTTTCCATTTTCCCCTTTGACATCGTATTTGAGGCATGGTGTGGCTGTCGGGCATCTCACTAAACAGCCCTTGTACTGTCCAATGACCGGCTTTGCCCCTTTGAGCTTGCGGGCAGCAGTGGTCAGCAGGATACTGCAGCTTTGTGCATTTCCTTTTCATCCTTCTCTACCCCATTGACTCTTTTCCTCATTCTCACCAACCCAGGTTTTCCTCCCAATAAAACTTCAGTGGTGAAGCCTTAACCCCAGGCTCCATGTTCTAGGAAACCTAAGCTAATACAGTGACCTTAAGCTCTTAAATCTCTACAGCCCTTGGTCCTCAGTTTTCTTGACAGTAACATGAGAGGATTGACCTAAATTATTTGCGATCCTTTTAAGCTTTACTATGCCATTATTATAATTTAACTGCTAAAATTCTTGAGGAAGGAAGGAAGCCAAATCTGGTAGTGCAGTTAGGATTGTAGGAAGCATAAGAAAAATAAACTAAAGCAATCTGGAGGGATCAGATATTTGCAGAAAATACTGTCCTGCTCTGACAACTACTATAGTGAAGATGATTTAACCATGGCTCTCAGTAAAGTTCTTGAAATTGCACTACTATAAACATAAATGTAAAGAGAAAGATTAAACGAAAACTTATATAACACATGCAACCATTGCTGACAGTCATTAAAACAAGAAAGGCTTCATAAATCCATAACTCATGCTGTTGACTAGACTATTGTAACTACTTTGTTGCCAGAAGATGGGAAGTCCTAAGCCAGTTCTGATAAGGAAATAGCATATTTTTTATATTAAAAAATTCCTTTGTAGTTCAGTGGCTTCTAAGAGGGTTTTATTCACCAGGATGTTGATTTATGTCCTTCCCAGTCCCCAGACTTGGTATAAGCCACGAGTAATGTGGATTTAGTTTGGGGCAAGGAGGGAGATGTCTGGGAGTCTTCCAACACAAAAACTTCTGGTGGCAGTCACACAGGCTAACATTGCCTTTGCAGGGATGGGTTTAGCACACCTCCTTGTCCTTCATTCTCTGCATAAAGTGAGACAGAATCCAGAAACTCATATGGGGAACGAGTCTTAGATATCACCTCCCTGAGTCCTTTAGCTTTATGAGCAGGAAAACAGAAGCCCAGAGAAGTGAAGTAACTGACCCAAGTTTGCCCAAATGAACGATCAAGGACCCTGTCAGAAGATGAGTTGTAGTCCAAATTGTTTTCCACATTTTACAAAAGAATCTGAATAAATCTGATTTTCAACAACAAAAATAATTCACAAACATGCTAATACACCATGGTGGGAATTTTTTACTTCCTTTAATAACAAATGCTTCTTTATCAACTGACAAAGTTATCTAGTTATACTCTAGTTATATTCCATAGACTATCTATATCTATTCCATAGATATTATTAGTATATTAATAGTTAGTATTAAATTCCATAGATACTATATTAATAGTTATTAATTAGTATAGACTATCTAGTTATACTCCATAGATACTATTAGTGTGTTAAGAGTATTATATTCCATAGATACTATAGTATATTAATAGTTATTAGTTAATTAGTATAGACTATCTAGTTATATTCCATAGATAGTGTTAATTTTGAGTACTTTTATTGTCCCTCTGTCATTTAGAACTCTGTGAGTAAACAAATCTTTAACACCATGCAGAGAAGACAAAACCCATGATCTAGTTTGTGTCTAATGTAATGAACAGTAATAGGCGGAGAAGTCCACCCTGCTTCCCAATTGGTCAAGTGCACTCTCGGGAACTTTAAGTATGTACCACACCACGCACCACCTATTCAGTGAGATGGATTGGTAGGAACTGCCCTCGTGAAGTATAATTAGAAAGAAACAGACTGATTCCTGGTTAGCCTGATGTATTACTATTGCATCTTGATGTGTTATAAGGTAAGTATAATGTGCCTAGTAAGTACCTCTTTTTAGATGAGTAAACAGAAGTAGCATAGATGTGAATCGCTAGTGAGGGCCTGGATCTGAAAATCCCAGGTCTTTAATGTTGGATGAATCATGAAGTTTTTGAGATAGATAGACTCTATCTTAAGAGTCTCTATCTTCTATTGGACAAATGATCAATTCATTCACTGAGTTATTCATTCAACAATAACATCTTATCATGTGGAAACACAATGAAGATTCAAAGAAAAAGAAGACACAAAGTACATGGTAACGTAATATAAAAATAAATAAC